GTTAGCAACCACACATGGGACCTTGTTCCTCGACCCTCACATAGGAAACCCATTGGTTGTAAGTGGGTCTACAAAATAAAGTATCATGCTGATGGTTCCATCAAAAGGTATAAAGCTCGTCTGGTTGCTAAAGGCTTCACTCAACGTGAAGGATTTGACTATCAGGAAACATTCTCCCCGGTAGCCAAACATGTCACTGTCCGTACATTTCTTTCTGTCGCTTCTCACCATGATTGGCCCCTTCATCAGATGGACGTCCATACGGCAAAGAGACATGTTACATTTACAAGTGTATAAATTGTAACTTCTGTACATGAAAAGTAATATACAGAAAACTATTCTCCTTCTCTTCTTTCTTGCCTGCTGGTACTCTCTAGGCATACTCAGCATCTTGGGTTGCTTCTTTTGCCTCTCTCGCACTCTTTGGTAACTTAGTTACCTCCTCGTGCTCACTGCCACACCAGCTTCTTACATGGTATCAGAGCAGGTTGTCCTGCCAGAAACTCTGCCTGTTACGCACCAATAGTTCGCTCTTTCCTGCAAAACACGCACCAAAAGTTAGTCCTCCAAACCAAATGGCTACAAACCAATCAAATCCAATTGGGCCCGATCCAGCAAACAACCAAGCCAACCCACACACACAAATGGACCCAAATAAAGAGCCCAATCCCAACCCCAACCCAAACCCTCTTCCCGACCCGAACACTTTTCCCTTCGGATTTTCGGGTCAAATTGGCCTGAACCCGTTTCCCTACCAATTCCAGCTTTTACAGCCTCAATCTCGCCGGCCGGAGCCCGGTGACCCTCTATACTCCTCCCCATCCGATGGCCCCGAACTAGTACTGCTTAAACACGTTCTCATCGGCACCGAAAATTACGCGACCTGGGCTCGCAATTTTCGGTGGGCGTTAATCGCAAAAGATAAAGACGGGTTTATTGATGGCACCGTCACACCACCAGAGGATCCACATCTACACAAATTTTGGACCCGATGCAACATGTTAGTCCGCTCGTGGATCGGCAACTCCCTGACCCAGGAGATTGCCGCCGGTTTACCTCCAACTGAAATCGCCGAGGAAGTCTGGCGATTCGTCAAAGAAATGTACGGCCAGTTGGATCTAGCCAAACTCTTCACCTTACGGCAAAATCTTGCCGATGTTAAGCAAAAAAACCAGATCGTTACGGCCTATTACAATCACCTTTCAGCCCTATGGAATGAACTCGATGCTGTCATCGATCCCTTCTGTGGCCCACCGGAAACCCTGCAATAGTACCAACAAATAAAAGAACAGGATCGTTTAATCCATTTTCTCCTTGGATTAAACGAAAAAATTTTATCCTTCAGAACCTAGATGTTGGCCGCCACCTCACCACTGTCCCTCCGCTGGGCTTACCAACTTGCTGTCCAGGACGAGAGCCAACGCCTTGCCTCCATGGAATCACTACAGTTGGGTGATTCCATGACCTTCGCTGCAGATCGAGAGAAGCAAGGTGAAGGCATCCTGCGGCTAGGGTTTGCGAGTGAGCAACACCATGTTTTATATAAAGCCGTGAACGGCCAAGATTCAATCTAGCCATCTAACGGCTCACACACGGTCAACCAGGTCAACGGTCAACCCGGTCAAAATTTTGGCAATTCATCTAATGGCCAAAATTTTTTCACCCCTAATATGGCTCAAATGGTTCTAGATCATCCCGATCGAGTAAAAAAATGTATTATGACTATTGCAAAAGGCGGAATCACAATCGGGACAGATGCTGGAAATTACACGGTTACCCTAAGAATAAAATGGGCTCTCCGACTGCAAACAATGTGACTGTCACTACCACTTCTGGCTCTGAGACACAATCATCCTTGATCAAACCAAAACAAATCACTCAACTCATCCAAATGTTGAATCAACTTCCAACAAACAATGCTTCCGCAAGTTATGCAGGTACATCTTTTTGTTTCAGTAATTCAATTTCCCATGATTTATGGATTATTGATTCAGGCGCTAGTGATCACATAATTTGTGNTTTATAGCATTTTCTAAGGCTGATAATTACTCGTGGCTGAGAAGTTCACAGACCAGCAGACTTCCTATAGATGCACTATCAGAGTCTGTGAAAATAGCTCTAGTAAAGTCCTCATCCCTAAATGGCAGGATCAGCTAAGAGAGATGCAAAATTAAATTTTAGTACCTCTGTATCAAGATTAGGAGACACTTCACAGTTTCTTTTACTTGGAAGCCTGTCTTTATATCAGTGTAATAATCTGCAAAGATGAAATTTCGAAATCTGTAATGAGTTGGAAATTTCTAACTCCTTCACTTGCAAAACCCATCAACCAGGGGAACCCAACACAAACACACTCAACGAAAACAACACAAACACACTCAACACATACAAAATATGCAGTAAGCCAGTAACCTACATTAACCATTCAAACAAAAAAGAAAACACAAAATCTGTCAAAAAAACAAAAACAAACACTCAAAATTAGGGGTTAGGGATTCATTACCAGCCGACGAGGATGAGTGATGGCGACGAACTGATGATTAGTCGAAGAGGGAGACAACGAGACAGGGAGTTGAACTTCAGGCACGAAGAAGACTGATGAGAGATTGAGATGAGAGGCAGGACTCAGGAGAGATTTGAGTTACTGAGAGTCTGAGAGATGAGATGCGGCCGCAATAGAGTTACTGAGAGTGAGAGATCAGAGATGAGATGAGAGTGAGAGATCAGAGATGTGAGAGATCAAATTCACAGATGAGATGAGAGTGAGAGGCATGAATGTGTGATAAAATTAGGGCTTCATTAGTGAACTGAATAGTGACTAGCAAATACAGGTACCCGCGGGTGCTCGCGGGTTCACCCGTATAAACCGTAATTTATTGGACCGGATAAAGGTACGGGTCTCAAAAAAATGGGTTTAATTTATTGGACTCGTATTCTATATATTTATCCAGGTACGGGCCGACCCGCAGGTCCAGACCTGTTTTGCCAGGTCTAGGTATGACAAATGGTGATGGTGCTATCAAGGAAAGAAGCTACACGAGAAGAAGTTGTTGAGATATGAAAATATTTATTTTAATTATAATTGATTCTTTCCAGACATTATACATTAATGCCCGGATTTCATGTGATTAAGAAATTATGACATTATTCCTATTTCCTTTTAATCACATTACATTCGTATAAATAGAGTTGTACATTTCACATTACAATATACAAAAATACAATATAGGGAATTGATTATTTTCTTTCTCTTCTCTTCTCTTCTCTTAGGCATTCTTTGGCAGTTATTCTACTACTTTTGCCTCTTTCTTCTTCTTATCCTTGATTCATTTCCAATCTCTGACATGGTATCAGTAGGGGTGAGAGGTTTCATGTACCCTACATTTTTCGAGCAAACCGAAACCAGAACCATACAGTGTAGGTTCCCAAAAAAAGAAATCAGAACCGCACAATGCAGGTTCTTAAATTCAAGGAACCAGAACCTAAAATACAGGTTCCGGTTCCTTTCCCGGGTACCTTGTAAAAATCAATTACCCCCTATTAGTTTAAAAAATGGCAAAAATACCTTAAAAGTTTGCAAATACACCCCTAACAAATTATGATTACTCATTCATTTGTGTCCAGTATGACTAATAAATCCTCTAATCTCTAGGCAACACTTGAATTCAATAAATTCATCACAATTCACAAAAAATTCCTCTATCAAAACCAAAACATAAACAATTAGTTAAATTAATGAAACAATCATACTATAAATCTATAATTTAATATTATAATTAATTAAATTTATAATCATTTAATTAAGTATTGTACTAATGTTTATTATAGAATATTATAATTAATTAAATAATTATACTATGAATCTATAATGTAATGTTATAATTAATTAAATTGTTAATCATTTAATTAAGTAGTGTATTAAAGTAGTAAATTACTAATATTTATAATGTAATGTTATAGATTTATAATTAATTAAGTGATCATTTAACTATGCAATATAAGTATAATATAATGTAATGTTATTATCAATTAAGTAACTATTTAATTGTAATGTAATGTTTTAATTAATTAAGTTTCTAATCATTTAATTAAGTATTGTACTAATGTTTATAATAGAATATTATAATTAATTAAGTAATCATATTATAAATTTATAATATAATGTTATAATTAATTAAATTTTTAATTATTTAATTAAGTAGTGTGCTAATGTAGTAAATTACTAAGGTTTATAATATAATGTCATAATTAATTAAGTAATCATTTCATTAGATAATATTATAATTAATTATGTGATCATACTATAATATAATGTTATAATGAATTAACTAATCATACTATAAATCTTTAATATAATATTATAATTAATTAAATTTTTAATCATTTAATTAAGTATTGTATTAATGTTTATAATAAAATGTTATAATTAATTAAGTAATTATTTGTTTATAACGTAATATTATAATTAATTAAGTAATTATACTATAAATTTATAATGTAATATTATAATTAATCACCTTCGTCTACTTCCAATAGCAGAAAAAAGAACCTTCGTCTACTTCCAATAGCAGAAAAAAGAAGAAGAAGAAGAATTCCAGTTTGCTTTACCGATTGTAATCTAGACTTTCATGTACACTTTTACCTTTTTGATATATAATATATCAACAAAGCTACGGACACCGAAAATTTTACACCGAAAATGTGTACCGGCCTACGTGTAACACAACTCTGATTTTTTTAACAATTTTTTTCTAGTGAACGGCCGTCCATCAAATTTGGACGGCCGTTCACTCACATGGACGCCCGTCCATATTATATGGACGGGCGTCCATANAGCCATTTCACAATCCATATCAGTGCTAAATTTCCTGATTCTAAAGTGTCCAAAAATTTCCCTTTGTACGGTCCGAAAATATATTCAATTTCACCTTATTCATATTCTTCTTCAAGAACATTTTTCAATCAATCAATAAATGGAAACCACAAACATGGAGTAGAGATCCACTTCCAACCAACTTATATTACTTTTTTGCAATTCTTTCCCCATCTTTTTACATTTCGGTTTCCTGCACATACATGAAATCAAAAGTGTGTGTGGAAGAACCAGGTGTATATCCTGAATATGTGATAAGATATTGCAAAGAAAACCTTCTCAATGATTGTCTATAAACCAGATTTCATTAAGATACCAAAGGAAAGGAATGCAGCATACGTAAATACTCAGCTAAATGATTATATAAGAATTATGGCTTAGGCAGCTTAGCCTAAAAGAATCAAGGGCAGGGTCATCACTGCAACCACTAGCCTGGACTGAAGATGCTAGTGCCATCCAGTTCTGGTACTTTCGTAGTAATCATCATAATTCATAATCTAGAGTTGATGAACAAAACCCACTATGCTATGGCAGCAGCTTCTTTAGCCCTTTCTTTTACCATTGACTGCACAAAGAGCTCCCCTGCCCTATAAGAGGATCGAACCTGGAAAATTGAATACATTGGTGAAGTTAAGGCAATATTATATAATGCTAGTTAACTGAATTTATATGACATCTAGCCTAATAAAACACTGGCTTGAAGAGAGTAACCATTTATCCAAGGTTAAGCGATAAAAAGAGCTTACCAAGGGCCCGCTGGCTACATAACGGAATCCAATAGACTCGCCATATTCCTTCCAGAAATCAAACTTTTCTGGGGTAACGTATTCTTTGACAGTCAAATGTAGTGGTGTTGGCTGCAAGAATATAACAATATTCAATTAGGCAACAGGAACAATACTGGGAAAAGTAAGCTGATGCAAGGCTCACTAGTGGCTAGCTTGAATCAGCTTAGCAACATCAGCGGAACAAGCAAGGTCACAGCCAGCTTATTATAAGAGACAAGACTAGGCTCTGCCAAATTGATAGGCCCTAAGGGCAGGGTTAAGTTAAAAACATTCTCAATCTCATTTGCCCCAAGTCTCAGTATCACAGTTGATTTAACCAAACATGATTTTGTGCTCAATATTTGCATATAAAATTTACCTGAAGATACTGTCCAAGTGTTAGGATATCAACATCTATAGCCCTCAGATCACCCATCGCTTCCTTCAACTCATCATCAGTTTCTCCAAGACCCAGCATTATAGAAGATTTTGTTATCATCCCCTTTTTGCTTAACTTTGCATGTCTCAGAACCGATAAGCTTTGTTCATACCTGTATTAGCAAACTACATAGAATTATAATTTATAACCAATTACTACAAATAATGCAGGATTGGACAATAGTATTTGATAAAATCAACCATGTTAGTTAATAGACACCAGCCCTGAACTGAGTTCATTAATCCAGCCTAAAGGCAAAGCTAAGTTTGTGCATCTAAAAGTTCATATGAGAAACTTCCTTTGTTTCATTAGCTCAGCCAGTTAGGTTTGACTTAATAGGTTGAAATAAAACTTCAAATCAACAGAAATGAGGCTGGACAAGTTCACATGTGGAGGAACAGTGTAAAAGGCAGATATATAAAGTTAAGTTGTATGGGAAGGGTGGACTTCGTGCTCTAATAAAACCTCTTCCCATAGTTGTCCCCAAAGACAGGCCAAATCAAATGAGATATTTCCCCTTAACAGATTGAATCAAATACAATTCAAGTCCAATCCGTTTACAGGCTAAGTTCTAAAGCTCAAAAGTGGATTTTTGCTTACAATGTAGGTTTGCAAGTCCTTGAGACCTAAGAAGAATAGTTATGGCATGCATGAGATTGATGATTTGCTCAAATAAAATAAATTTTGGGCACAAAAGCTCATTCAAGTCTTTCATACTATGAAGGAGATGTTTTGTTAGCATCGTCAATAGATTCAACATTGTTGAAGATGATGAAGAGAGCTGCAGTCAGAACAGAAATGATGCATGATGATATAATTATAATCTCCAACTCTCAACAAAACTCACCCAGCACGGGGATCTCTGACAATTCGCTGGAGCCGTTTCACAGTTTCAATGTTGTGAGCAAAGACATCTAAACCCGAGTGTACAAGAGTATCTACAGCCGTTAGGTCACCCCGGAAATCAGAGGTTAAACACTCAACCATGATCTCAGGTTTGAGTTTCTGCAATTAGGTTGTACAGAATTCAATCAAGTGTGTCATTCAAATTCCAATATCTTCTGCAGTAAATATAACTTAGAAAGCCTGCAATTAAAAAAAAAAAAAAAAATATTAAACAATATAGCAAGAGAGAAATGCGGACCTTCATAGCTTTGACTGTCTGAGCAAAATGTCCACTTCCACCATCAGGTATATCATCACGATCTACACTTGTTATAACAATATAATCCACCCTACAAAAATTAAATCAAACAACATTTTCAAATTCTGCAGAAACATATAGTACCACACCAAAACAATGTATGCAGAACACATACGTACCAATCAACCCAGAGATGTCCACTTAACCAATGGTTCCATTTATTTCAAATCTAAAAACAATATGAATTCAAAATAAACTAAAATTACTGCTGTCCCAGAGTCTCGCAGAACAAGAAACTAAGAACCAGACACAGTCAAACTCAAGTACTTGTCAAGATATTCATTGTAGTAATTAGTAAACATAAGAGATCTTTGTTCTAAAGTATGCATCCCCAGAATATTATACATGAAAGATTGCTAAAGTTGCACCAGTTATTTGTATTATAACATTTTTCAGATAACTCAGCTTGCATTTTCTTTATAGAATGGTAATAAAAACATCATTTACCACAATTACACTTTAAATACGTACCCCCAACTAGCAATGGCCTTAGCAGTGTTTTCTGGTTCCATAGGGTCAGGTGGTGCAGGGTTTCTGCTGGTTTTGACAGCACAAAATCTGCAGCCACGGGTGCAAGTATCTCCAAGTACCATGATTGTCGCCGTTGCAATACCGTCCTCACCTCCATTCCAACACTGCCCAAAATCATGTCCAACCATTTCACGTCTAAATCTAAAACTAAAACAAAAATAATCCAGTTCCAAATTCCTCTAGAGGAAATTGCTATATTTCCGGGCTAATATTACAGGAATTAATGAATTTTAGTAGCCATATTGTTACTTTGCCAACAAAAAATTCAACGTGAACATGAACATGTGATCGAACTAACAGCAATTTGCAATGAAGAAATAAGGAGAAACCCAGATATAAAAACATAAAAAGAAACCAAAACTACCTCTCCAATATTGGGACACTGAGCCTCTTCGCAAACAGTGTTGAGTTTCAGATTGGAGAGAGATTCTTTAACTTGTTGAAACCTTTCTCCTTGAGGAGCTTTCTGTCTCAACCACGCAGGCTTCTTGACATTAGGGTCCCTCCCTGTGAACGGACCCACGTGTTGTTTTTGTTGTAATGGGGGTTTAACGGAGTCGATCTTTGAGTCGCATCGGACTTTCACGGGAACTGAGAATGAGATTGAAGGTTTCGATACGGACACGGAGTAATGAATCATTGTCAAGTTTAATGCGCAAAAAAAAAAAAAAAAAAAAAAGAGGGTTTTCTTATGAAGAAGATGAAGAAAGTTAGGCTCCTTTTATTCAAGTAAGAAGCTTTGAAATCTCCGCCTGAAATTCAATGCAACGACAGAGAGCTGTCTGTCTCCTTTAGGTTTGGTAGTTAAAACTGTTACGGCCTACTTCTTACTTAGCCACCTGTTCGGTTTTTTAATGTTTTTGTTAAACTCAAATTAAATTCAATATTTTTTAGTTAGACCATTTATTATAGTATTAGAAACCCAAAAATTGATTTAATTTGGATTTTTTTTAAGTTGAAGAATTAACTCAAACATTAATGTAATATGTTAACATCTTAAAATCAAAATCAAAATCATTTGGTTCCGATTTGGTTTTTTTTTTTTTTTTTTTTTAAAAAAAAAAAAAAGGTGTCTACAAGCATAATCACCTCTCGATCCCTACAAGCAACTCGATCCCACCAATAGTGGGTCCTGCCGCTGTGATTACTTACTTAAATCTTGAAAGTTAAGGGGATTCGAGCCTAGAACCGTACACCTTAACCACACATTCCAGTGCTCGACTACTAGTTTTTACCACTTGAGCTACGACTACCCATTTTACCTAAGGATGAGTTGATTTGGGTATTTTTGCAATTGCTCTAATTGAATTTATATGATTTGCAGGTGAAACTTAACATTAAACAATTAGATCCATACGGATTACTAGACCTTAGAGATGATGTCAGAAGATCGTGGAGTTTATGCATGTGGGAAACTATGATAGCCGACCTAAGCGAAACCAATCAACACAATGATCGGTCAAAATCATGGTCAAGACCCTTCTTTTATCCCACACACTCGTACACCCACACAGCTTCTAACATCATTTAAAAGGGCTAGTGAAAATTAAACACACCAAGAACATAAATGAAGAACAAAAACATAAATGAAGAACATATATATTAAACATGTCAAAGAACATAAATTAAAGACATATATGAGATATTTTGCTATCTTTAACATTATCAGAATATTACAACACCCTTGAGGTTGAGAGAAAGTTTAGAAAGATGAAAGAAACATGGAAGAACTATGGGAAAGATGTGTAAAGAAAATATGCAAAGGAGAAGTGAGATTTTTTAGCAAGAGAATTATACAAGAGTTTTACAAAGTTCCTCCTCCACGAGAAGGTAAAAGAATTTATTTATAGATAAGATATATATAACCCAAGCAAGACTCATAAATGAGTCATTTAATACATGACTAAACTTTTTGACTTGTCTTTTTTTTTTTTTTTTAATTTATTAGCCTACAATACTTGACTTTTACAAAACATACGGAATATATTACATAGAGTTGGCAAACTGTCATTTAGTCCATCACTATTTTACATAAAGGATACAACTTTTTATTTTAAGAAGACACGTAGAGCTTTAATCGTTTGACAAGTTGGTAACGTGTCACGAGTCTTCATCCTAGAAATCGAGACAACCCATTGATTGAATCCAGTCAGCAGGGATTTGTCGAGAAGATGCATCTGGATGAGTATTTGAAGAAATGTTTGGAATCTGGGATCTTTGTCTTGCAGAGGTACTTGGTGCATGCATGTACTGTTGTCGCCTGGATTTACGAAGGTAGTAATTACGAGACTACTGAAGCTCTTCTTCTTGCACAGTATCTGGCTGTGAGTCTGAGTACCACCATTTTGGATAATCTGAATTGGCATCGAATTGAGCAGTGATGGAACGTATGCATATTTGTTTGGCTTGGAGTAATTTCTCAGTGTAGTTTGGAGGAAAGAGTTCCCACGAAGCATCATCGTGAAAGGATAGTCATATTTCATCTGGAATGATCTGATTTTTTTCAAAAATGATTTTTTAAATTGATCTAGTCTCAATAGGATGGTCAAACATATTATGGACGAGGTCATATGGATAAGACCGATGAAATGTGACTTGATGTTGTGAAAAATATAGGTCATCGAATCTGATGGAGTGATGTCTGTGGAAAAACATAATAGACCATGCCATTTTGGTAGACATATGACCTTTGTACCGAGCAAGCTGATGAGCAAACACAGATTTTCATTTGTCTTGGGTTTTGAACCATCTGAGAAAAGTCATCAAAGAGCGTAATTCAAAGGTTGAGGATGACTGATATTGAGAAATTATTTTCAACATATGATGGACCGGGAATTGAATGGCAATATGGTACTGGTGTAAACGTGAAGCTTTTTATGTCAATAAACGTGATGAACAAGCCAGAGGAAAACTCAAACTTGTTATTAATTATTAGCCATTGAATTTCTTTCTCCGTGATGATAAATTTCCTCTGCCTTCCAGACAAGTTCTCTTTGCAAAGCTCCATAATGCAAAGATTTTTTTCCAAATTTAATCTCAAAGCTGGATTTTGGCAACTTGGAATTCATCCTGATGATCGTCATAAGACTGCTTTCTGCATTCCCAACCAACACTACCAGTGGACGGTTATGCCTTTTGGACTTAAGGTCGCTCCTTCCTTGTTTCAGAAAGCCATGACGAAGATTTTTGCTCCCCTGTTGCATACATGTCTCATTTATATTGATGATATCCTTCTCTTTTCAAAAGACGAGGAATCTCATATACGTCTTCTTCGTGAATTTGCTGATATCATACACTCTTATGGTATTATGCTCTCTGAGAAAAAAATGTAGTTAAGGCAAACAAAGATTGATTTTCTTGGTATGGCGATTGCTGACGGCAAGCATGATCTTCAACCTCATATTAGTAATGAGTTGCAAAAATTCCCAGATGTTCTCACAACCAAAAAAGAAATACAACAATTCTTGGGAATTGCCAATTACACGCGTAGTTTTATTCCTAACATTTCTCGTTTCACTACTCCACTTTCCTAGATGCTTAAGAAGAATCCTCCTTCGTGGTCTGAAAAGCAAATAAATGCAGTCAAGAGTCTTAAGCGCACATCATTACATACACAACCGTTGAAGATTCCTTCTTCTGGGAAACGAATTCTTCAGACGGATGCTAGTGACACTCATTGGGGTGCAGTGCTTTTTGAACAATATGAAGACAAGGTACAACATTTATGTGGATACCAGAGTGGACAATTCAATCCACACCAGCAACATTATCCTTCTACTTTCAAGGAAGTATTAGCAGTAAAAAATGTCATTGAAAGATTTGAATTCCACCTTGTTGGACATCATTTCTTTGTTGAAACGGATATGAAGTCTTTTGATCAAATGCTTCGATTCAACAAGAAAAAGGTTCCGTATCAACAATTACTTCGATGGGCAGAATGGTTCAGCAAATATTCCTTCACCGTCCAGCACATTAAAGGTCACACCAACACCCTTGCAAATTATCTAACCAGACCTAAAACCAGGGGCGGATCCAAAAATCTTTATTAGGGTGGGCCAAACAAAAATTTTTAGTTCAAAAATTGAGAGTGGGCCACAATTTTTTAATATTTGACAATAAAAATTAAGGGTGGGCCAAAGTCAAACTAAATGGAATAATGTATTTAATTTTTGTTTTTTAAAAATTGAGGGTGGGCCATGGCCCACCCTTAATACACATTGGATCCGCCCCTGCCTAAAACTAAACAAGACGGTTTCATGAACCCTAGATCCAAACCTTTTCTTTGTTTTATGTTCCAACCATTAATCCAGCCCAGTTCCTGTTCATCATCTTCTTCACCAAACCATACTCCAAACGTACCTCCTGAATTCGATGACCTTGTTCGAACTCGTACTATTGATGAAAATGCTACCATCCTCATGTTTTCTTATCAAATTCAATGCATTAAAAAATGTGGACAATCCATGTATGATATGTTAGGCATCCATCCAGATTGCCCCTTTTCAAAAATCTTTTGTTTACCTTCAGGTCTTGACATCATATTTCTAGAAGAATTATTATGGTTCTTTTGGTATATGTTACACCAGTACCACATTGTCATTCAATTTTCAGTCCATCATATGTTAAAAATAATTTCTCAATATCAATCATCGTCAACCTCTGAATTACGCTCTTTGATGACTTTTCTCATATGGTTCAAAACCCTAGACAAATGAAAATCTATGTTTGCTCATCAGCTTACCCGGTACAAAGGTCTTATGTCTACCAAAATGGCATGGTCTATTATGTTTTTCCACAGACATCACTCCATCAGATCCGATGGCCTATATTTTTCACAGCATCAAGTCACATTTCATCGGTCTTATCCATATGACGTCGTCCATATTATGTTTGACCATCCTATTGAGACTAGATCAATTCAAAAAATCCTTTTTAAAAAAAATTAGATCATTCCAGATGAAATATGGCCATACTTTCGCGATGATGCTCCGTGGGAACTCTTTTCTCCAAACTACACTGAGAAATTACTCCAGGCCAAACAGACATGCATACGTTCTATCACTGCTCAATTCGATGTCAATTTAGATTATCCAGAATGGTGGTACCCAGACTCATAGTCAGATACTGTGTAAGAAGAAGAGCTTCAGCAGTCTCGTAATTACTACTTTCATAAATCCAGGCGACAACAGTACATGCATGCACCACGTACCTCTACAAGACAAACATCTCAGATTCCAAACATTTCTTCAGATATTCATCCAGATACATCTTCTCGATAAATTCCTACTGATTGGATTCAATCAATGGGTTGTCTCAATTTCTAAGATGAAGACTCGTGACACGTTACCAACTTGTCAGACGATTAAAGCTCTGCGTGTCTTCTAAAAATAAAAAGCTGTGTTCTTTATGTAAAATAGTGGTGACTAAATGGCAGTTTGCCAACTCTATGTAATATATTCCGTATGTTTTGTAAAAGTCAAGTATTGTAGGCTAATAAAATAAAATAAAATAAAAAAAAGACAAGTCCAAAAGTCAAAAAGTTTAATCATGTATTAAATGACTCATTTATGAGTCTTGCTTGGGTTATATATATCTTATCTATAAATAAAGTCTTTTACCTTCTCGTGGAGAAGGAGGAACTTTGTAAAATTCTTGTATATTTCTCTTGCTAAAAAATCTCACTTCTCCCTTGCATATTTTCTTTACACATCTTTCTCATAGTTCTTCCATGTTTCTTTCATCTTTCTAAATTTTCCCTCAACCTCAAGGGTGTTGTAATATTCTAATAATGTTAAAGATAACAAAAGATCTCATATAG